GCAATTCCTCTTGTCAACAATACCCCCCAAAATAGAAACCCAATATATCTCTTCCACTCTCCATACACCTCTTTCTTCCGCTTTCTTGAAAGCTTCTTCCGCTTTCTTGAAAGCTTTCTTGAAAGCGGACAAAAGCCACCCTGCCGCCCTGGCGCTATGTCCGACATAGAGGCGTGACGCCTCTATGTCGGACATAGCGGCAGGGCAGCAGCAGACAAAAACCACACTGCCACTATGTCCGACATAGTGCCAGGGCGGCAGGGCGGCTTTTGCCCGTTTTCAAGAAAGCTTTCTTGAAAGTGGGCAAAAGCCGCTTTCTTTCTTTTTGCCTCACCAGCCATAAACCTCACCGCACGTCACTGATAGTAGTGCCTATACTTCGCAGAGTTTGGAACCTCCCTTCCTCATGCAGTTGCTAAACATAATTCGATTCTAAATAGGTGAAACTATTAATGAAAGAAGACCATTAAGCTGTTTGGTAAATAAAGCCTGGAGAGGCCCTGGCAAGTAGGACCACCATTAGCTACCTGTATGCCTACTAATGTAGAAAACTCCAGCATCCGCATCCATTAGGCTGTATTCAATTTTGTTGAATGGATAGTCTTGATCAGAGCCATTGACATTGCCAAAGCTGTATCCATACTCAGTATTCTCTGGTACACTGAATACATGTTTTGAGCAATTTGGGTTGAATTCATTCACTGGTGTCACTGTCACCAGCACAGAAACAGTGGCTGCAAGATAGAGAAAGAAACCCAGAAAGCTTATATGATAACAAAGTTCCAGCAAGCACTTTGTAATTGGCAAGTAATTAAGTTGCCTAATCTGCATAATTACAGACAGCAAGCAAAGCTCAAATGCAGTAGTACACAAGGCTGCAGATCTGAAGGTTTACCCCTGGGTTTGCCAATCAAGTGGGCGATTTGATTTTTAGAGGAAAGCAGGGATCAGAATGAGTAAGAAACTGGCATCTGCTTATCTCCCAGTGATAACTCCTTCTAGGTCTTTTTCACAGTGCTATTGTCGGTTCTTAAAGGCACAGTCAGGAATCAACCACAAGAAATACCAGAACTCTATTTATATAAGCTATAATAACACAAAAGTTTGACAAGATTTCTCCTTCTGTCTCTCTTATATCAAAGACAGTTACTCTTGGGTTTCCTTGGCATACTTTTCTGCCTTCCTGGACTAAGTTCAAGTTTTGCTAATGGTTGCTGCATGTTTTCTTCAAGGCCATCTCCGTAGTTCTGTATATTACATATTGGGGTGTAAGTCACATGGAGAAGAATTCAACACTCTTTTGTCCATTTCACTGGAAAGTTTGCCCTTAATCATACTTTATACATGAATGGGGGTAGACCTGTGATCCTCAGTCTTTTGGCTCCCGCAATATATTTGCAATTTTGAAAACCTGCCATAAGCATTCTCATAAAATAGCTACTATGAGAAAAAGCCAATTTACTGGAAGGCAAGCTAAAGAGGTTAATTCCTGCTACCCAATCTCTACCATTTCACCTTACATCTGTCCTTATTTTTCTGGGCAGCTGGGCATACTGCCAAACAAAATACTGGCTCTAGCTACCAAATCATTTGTCATTTCTAATGCTTCTGGGGGGATAGTGAAGTTCAGAAACACTGCTGGAAACAAAGATAATGCTTGAGGCGGGTGTTTTGTTCTGAACCACACCACCTTGATTTTTTAAGAAACCTAAAAATAAAAATAAGATCAGGGAAGATATAGAGCCTGGCAGCCATTAAATGAGAGCTCTGTGGCCACATACCCACTCTGGCATCTACCCAAGAGACCCATGAGGTGGGCTTATATTGACACATACGGCTAAGCACCAACACATAGAGAATGATTATGCACATCTTTAGAAATGATTCGTATGTTGGCTTGATATGGTTAGAACTTAGTACAAGAACTTGATTCTCTTACATACTGCCATTCTGCTAAATTTGCTCAGCTTGTATATGTATTTTAAGTGTATTTTAAATTAATAGTCATGTCCCATTGGGGAAAGGATTATTCTAATACATATAGGAAGAACACAGTTGTATTAAATAGCCTCTGAACATTTCCTGTTTGGCATAATTTTATTATTTCAATTGTATTAATATTTTGATGGATTTGTCAAACATACATCTTGGTAGTCTATCCTGGGCTTTCCGATTGATCTGCTTTCTATGGGGGAGGACACAGATCACATGGAGTTGTTGTTTGCCTCTCACAAATTTACTTAGCAATTGTTTCCAGTCAGGCCCCAATGCATGGCTCCCATCAGTCTCAACCCACTGCTGTTTTTCAATTGCTTCTTTCGGGCTCTTAGATGCCTTTACATTAATATGCTGATAACTGCTTCTGGGAAAACTAATAATTGCCCTATTTTACTTTCAACAGTACTGAAAAAAAGTGTGATCATTTGACTCTGATCAATGACCATGGAAACAGGAAGGTGTTTGTCAAGAAAATTATATGATCTTTTAGTCACTAAATGTGAAGCTCAAACAAATTTTATTTCTCAAGCTTGAATAATTCTCCTTATTTGGGGAAAAATATATTCTTTAGTAATTTAGTCTGTAATTTCAACTACCCTGATACGTTTTATTTTATTTATTTTTTGTTTCATATGAAGGGCAGGAAATAGTATATCAGTTAGCTTTGCTTTCTGCATAAAATTACATTATAGTAGTAATACTTTTCTCCAGATCAGACAAAAGTGATAAACATTCTAAATTTATTTTTATCAACACATTTCAAATAGCTATTTATGCAACCATGGCCCAAACATTTGGGTGAAATATGTTCTAGAATTCTTCCAGGTTTCTTTGACTTCATCAATATCCAGGAATGACAAACTTCAAATAGTGCTTTTTAGCAATGTGGTACTTACTGGTTTGTGCAGGGCTTCCTTCATCAATCACTAGAATGTCAGCCTTGTATTGAAAGTTAAGAGAGGCCATACTTCCTGAATCACAGTCCAAACTGCTATTTACCTATCAGACCACAGGATAGAAAGATCAGGAGAAAGAGGACAGAGGTTACCTTTAGTTATTGACCCATGGCAGAGAAACTTATGGTATCTTCTACAAAAGAGAGACGTCCTTAGTCAACTAAGAGATCCAAAGCTCCAATCAGGGTCCCTAACGCACCATGATCCTGAATGGAAATTCAGTGCCCCTTTGAGCTTTGTACTAAATTTACTGTTCATTTAAATGTAGATTTTCAGTACTGCTCATATGAATTGTTGTGGATATATATTGAATATATATATTCAAGCCTTCCCTGATATATACCTAGCAACTGATGTTCCACTCCAAAGACTCACCTGAAGATTTGGACCATCCATTTTGAAGCTATAAGGTGGGTTCTGGTTGACTATATTGTACGTTAAGCTGCTATTGATATTCTCTGGATCATAGCAAGACAGAGACAATATGGGGCCACTAATGTTTTCTGGAACCTGAGTCCTGGAATTAAGCAAAATTAATCACAATAAAAGAAACAGCAACAAAAAGGTAGAAAGAGAGATTTGAAGGGAGCAAATATTTCCATTTTCTCCTCGTCCCTTGATTTTCAGAAGTTTCTCTTAAAAGACTGTTTTTAAAAGAAAAGATAGCACTTCAAGATTTCCAACAGGGCTAATAATTTAGTTTTGGTTTATGAGGTCAAAAGATATGTATCTTGGTTTCTGATTTCTCCAAACCATTAGCCCACAGTTAATGAAACTTGTGTGACCTCCAGATTTGTTGAATTACACAATCAAAACCTGTTCCTGGAGATGATTTAATTGATTAAGGAATTTACCTGGATCTATTTATCTTAAAGTAATCCTAAACACTCTTCCCACTTAGCAATCTAACTCCTATACTTCTCACAGAAACAGTAGCCCTCCTAATCACCTAATCTACCACACATTCACCTCTATGCAGAAAGTTAGACACCGTCAAATTGATTCTATTACTCTATGTTTTCTTGGCTAAGATACCCCAATTTTCTTTGCAAAGACGTACACAAACACAGCGGGAGAACACAAGGGTGCTTCCAAGTTCTCCTGCTTCACAGTAATGTTGACAAGGATGATGGCTTGATCAGTGGGATGTAACATATTGTAAGCTTTCACCTTCAACTGGGTGTTTGCTAAGCTTGGATTGTTTTTCAGATCTAAGTAGTATGTGGTCTTGATGATGCCTGTATCTGCATAATTAAAGATATATTATTTTATTAAGAAATTTAATTACATTTGGAAAAACGTATACAAACTGAACTTGAGAAAGAGAAGAGAATAGGAAGTAAGGATAAAAGTGGAGTAAAAAAGAAGAAAGAAGAAAAGCAAAGAAAATGCAGGTAGTCCTCAATTTATGACAATTGAGGCAAACATTTATGTTGTTAAGTAAGAAATAAGTGAGTGAGTTTTGTCCCATTTTACGACTTTTCTTGCCACATTTCTTAAGTGAATCACTGCAGCTGTTAAATTAGGAACCAGGTTGTTAAGTGACTCTGGTCTCCTCATTGGCTTCGCTTGTCAGAAGGTCACAAAAGGCGACCACATGACTCTGGGACACTGCAATCGTCATAAATATAAGTCAGTTGTCAAGCATCCGAATGTAAATCATGTGACCATAGGGATGCTAGAATGGTCATAAGTGTGAAAAACTGTCACGTCACTTTTTTCAATGACGTTGTAACTTTGAATGGTCACTAAATGGAGTGTTGTAAGTCGAGGACTACCTGCATAATAAGGAAAAAGAAAAGAAATAAATAAACATCAATGACTTCCAACCTTACTCACAATAAATAAATTTAATAACTATTCAATGTCTATAAACAGATGTCTCTTTTTCTCATATCCCATCCCTTAGCTATATGCCAATTCATTTTAAAAATTGTCTTTTCAACCCTGGTGTCATTAATAAGCTCATAGAGGGTTGCTAGAACATTACAAAAAATAATTTTAACATTGATTATATAAACAATTTTAGATTCCTTCCTTTTACTTCTAGCAGTCTTAATTCAATCAAATATTAGTGTAGGATTTTATTTCTCTTCAATTCTTTATCCTATCCCACAGATTTCTTCAAGGCTTTAGCAAGCCTCTTGTAGATCCAATAAGAAAGCATTTCTCAAGTCATTCTCTTGGATCATCATCTGTCCTCTTCTAAATTGTTCTCTTCTTCTGCCATTTGTAGTTCCATGTGCTGTACTTTGTTTTATCAGATAAAATTTCTGATCACATCTGTTTTCCTTTATTAACATGTTTTAGACACAGATTACTTATAGAAGCAGGCGTTGCTAGTGACACTGTTGATACTCTAGTTACTAACTTATGGACTTATTCTTCAAAGATCTCCTTTAATATTTCTGAAGTTGTAATATTTTTTACCATACTGTAAGTCCCAGTATTATTTGACACCAGTATAGTTTGTCTCCTGCTTAAAATCTTTAGCTTCCTCTAGTGCAGGGGTGTCCAACTTGCGGGCCGCGGGCCAGACATGTCACACACTGGCCACGCCAGGGGTGAAATTCAGCAGGTCCTGACAGGTTCTGGAGAACCGGTAGTGGAAATGTTGAGTAGTTTGGAGAACCGGCAAATACCACCTCTGGCTGGCCCCAGGGTGGGGTGGGAATGGAGATTTTGCAGTATCCTTTCCCTGCCACACCCACTAAGCCATGCCCACAGAACTGGTAGTAAAAAAAAATGAATTTCACCACTGGACCATGCCCACCCCTGGTTTAGCGAAGTGGGGAAAGTCATGATACATCATGTGTCAACAACGTGATGCCACGAGTTTGACACCCCTGCTCTAGTGTCTAGTTTCTGAAATCATAACTTATCTTTTATCTCACTTCCAATTGCAATAACAAAAACAACTGTTTCCTACAAGAAATTGTTATTTTTTATAGTTAATTCCAAAATCTCATAATAAAAGTCAATACTTCAAATTTATCTGGACCCCTAATCAATCAGTACAGTAACTTTCTCAGATCAAAATCTTATTTAGCTTTTTGCTGTTTATTTCAAAGTCTTTAATCTCTTAAGCTTTTAGGTAATATTTGTTTTGTTCAGAGTTGAAGATACATTTTCCTGATGAAGACTTCAAACCTGTTATTCCAAAGATCTCTAATACCGTAGCCTTAAAATAGTTAATTCAGGTAGTCCTTTGACTTCATTTAATGGCCATTCAAAATTACAACGGCCCTGAAAAAAATGACTGATGATGATTTTTCACAATTATGACCATTGCAACATCTCCATGTGATCAAATTTTGGACAGTTGGCAACTGGCATGAATTTATGACTGTGACAGTATTAGTGGGGTCATGTGATCACATTTTGTGACCTTCTGACAAGTCAATGGGGAAGCCAGATTCACTTAACAACCATGTTACTAACAATTGCGGTGCTTAACAACAGTGACAAGAAAGGTCATAAAATACAGCAAAACTCAACAAGTGTCTTGCTTAGCAAAGGAAATTTTAGGCTCAATTTTGTGGTTGTAAGGAACCTGTAGGCAAATTCCAAAAGTAATTAGAAACTTAGTGTCCTTTAAAAGCTCTTCCATGGTTGCAAGCAAGATGGTTGATCTTTTCATCTCCTGGTGCTCAAACTCACAGAAAACTGCCGGTTCCCTTGCGAGAAGCAGCCATTGGAGCACATATGGGCAATCCTGTCCTTTCCTTATCTGGAATGGGTCCAAGGAACCAAACTCACCAGTTCCTTGGTCTTTACCACTTGTTTTTACTTTTGTTGCTTTTATAGCACTGTTTTCCATACCTTCCCTGGAAGCCCTTTAATGAAGGAAGAATGATTCTCAGCCTCTTGAAAGCAAGAAGGCTGAAAATTGAAAATCAGCGTAGCTAGCTCCTGGAGACTTCCTGAGATGGTGTGGATGCTATGGCTTACCTGGGGCTTTAATTACCTGGTTCAATGGTGAAATAGCGTGTGCTTGGGGAGACGATCTGGTAGAGCACAGGTTTCCCAGTTGCTACGACCTGTATGACTTTGGTCAAAGGTAGTACACTTTCCCATATTGAACTTGCAACTGATGATTCCCTGAATCATAAAGGCAAAGGTGTAAATAACTCTTTCTGAATCAGGAATCTATCAAGCACATTACTCTGTTTACTCTGCCTACTTGAAATTAAAAAAAAAAATAGTTATATGTTTACATGGGCACAAAAATATTAACATTGACGGGGATGTATCCTGAATTAAATCAGTCCCCTTGCATGTCTTCCTCAGAGTTCTAAATATATTTGGTTAATGTTAATGGCGTTTGGTTGAACTACAAGTATGGCTCGTACTCTGGTCTGTTCAATCTATGTGACCTAGACCTAGGAGGTAGAAGATACAAAAAACTTATTCTTATATTAGACAAGGTTATACTAGCCTAGAAAGAGGCTCAAATCTCCTTAACCCCTTTCTGCAATACATTCTAGATCTACAATTTGGTCTACATGGCAGGGATTCCAGAAAATCTGATTAGAAAACATTACATTTCAGGAGTTCCAGAAGTGTGCAGCTTGATTCAAGCCTTCCAGTTCTTTCCCCAGAGAAGGGTATAAGTCATGTACAATGGATGGAGAGTAAATGAGGCCTCACATGCTGGGATTTCCATTAGTAGTAAGTAGCGCTGCCTCAGGCCACGCATGATTGAGCAGACATAAATTTTAGAGGTGCCAACAAAGCCTCATTTTGAGCAGTACATCTTCAAATTCTAATACCCAGTATCTTTGACTTACAACCATTTATTTAGTAACCTTTAAAATTTACAACGGCATTGAAAAAAAGTGATTTATGACCAGTTTTCACGCTTACAGCCATGGCAACATCCCCGTGGGTCATGTGATCATGCTTCAGTTGCTTGGCAACCGACATGTATTTATGATAGCTGCAGTGTCGTGGTGCCATGTGACCATCTTTTGCGACCTCTGACAAGCCAAGTCAATGGGAAAACCATATACACTTAACAACTGTGTTACTAACTTAACAACGGCAGTGATTCACTTAACATGTGGCAAAAAAGATCATAAAATGGGGCAAAATTCAGTTAACAACTGTCTTGCTTAGCAGTGGCAATTTGGAGATCACTTGTGTTTGTAAGTTGAGGATACCTCTAAGTATCGCAGAGGATTCTGAGATTGTACTGTAGGATCAAGTGGGATCTGAAGTGATAACTATTCTCTAACATAATTCCAGTTCTGTGCCATTTGCTGCAAGAGATTTTGTAGTAATGTGTATCTTTAAAGGATATAATGGGATGTCTTGGGCCATACCTATTTGCTGACAACCTAACATGTACATCTAAGTATCACCATGTTTTTATCCCCATCTCCTCCAACTCACCTGAAACTGACTTTGTTATGGTAAACAGGGTTCACGTGGATAGACAGAGGCACTTCGCAACGTCTTGAAGCACCATCCCTAACCACGATTTTTAGTGGGAATGTCTGCAGGGGCAAAACAGGAAAAGTTAGTTGAATCCGAGAGGCTCAATGAAGAAGCCTACAGTTCCACAGAAGCCTTTGAAACAGCTAATTCCCTGAAATTATTAGGAACTGTGCAATGAGAAAGGTCCAAAGGCCTGAAACAAGACATGTGGAAATCAAAGTCTAATGGCAAAATGCTGACGAAGACAACAGAAGCTCCCTGGGACATGCAATTTTCCTTGGGATGGTTTGGGATATGACAGAGAGCCAAAGTCTAACATGCCTTGAATAGACTCCCACTATTTCACTGGGATGCTAAGCAGATGTACTGTATGTGCAAGGCAAACAATAGCACATACCTTGCCAGCTTGTTCACGAGTGAAACCTGCAGCAGGTACCTGCAAGACTCCTTCTGGAGTTATGCTAAAAGATAAGGAAGAGTCCTCAACGGTGAACTGTGGGAAGGGAAGACAATGTGGTGATTATAGAGTAGACAACACCTTCCGCTTGTTATCCCAGCCACTGAGTCTCACCCTGTCAGAGTCATCCTTCAAAATGCCACCTCCTCTCAGATGACCCCCTCATCTTAGATGATCCAGAGGAATTTCTTCTCTCATTTGAGGAGAACAATTTGTCCCTCCTTGTGATCACAGAGCTTTTCTCAAGCACACTCCTGCTTTTTTCTCCCAACCACTGCACTTACGGACAGTGTGCCTCTACCCCGCCTCTTCAAGACAGTTCTGTAGATTATTTCTCCAGGTGGAACATCTTCTGAAACTTGTATAGGCGACCGTCCTATGATATAAGAGAGATGGGGGTGGGGGTGGGGAACTAACGTAAATTGAACTTGGCAACATGGGCAAACTGAGGTTGAACAGTCTCTCGTTTCAGGATTATGAGACCTTTTGGGCAATTCCACTACCACTACTCTACTCTCTCTTCTATTCTTGGTCAAAATAATATTTTGCTACCTTGTGCTGATCAGGATCTGCTCCATGTTTATGGAAAACTCAACGCATCCCACCACTGCCTGCTGACTAATCTCCACCTAATCCCATTCCACTGTAATCTTACGTTAAACTGTTTTTCATTAAAGCACTTTTATCTTTTGTTGAATGTGCCAAAACTAATTTAATCAAGGAGGCTGCCGCATTCTTACCTATGCCAGTATATCCTTCATTGCACACTAATCTCTCTGCTTCATTAACTTGAACAATGAGTTGAGCATCTCTTGTCGTCTCTCTTGGACAGCTTGCTCTGAATGTTAAGACATACAGATTCACCACTCTAGCATCTAGAGCAGCACTGGGACTAAGTCTCACCTGGGAATCAAAAGAAAGAACCTTGGTGTGATTCTTAAGTAAGCATTAGAACAGAGTAGAGTTCACCAGCCTCTTTCCTCCCCTACACATCTCTGTGAGGGTAATTCCATCAAAGGACTGCCAGCCACTTCAAAAGCAACCCTGGATCTCAATAATTTCTTCACATCATCTGTGTTTAAGAGCTTAGACAATTTATTGCTAACTCAGCAATGTGGTGTTGGGATGATGACGATTTTATTAACCTTATATTTCATTTTTTTTTCAGTTCTTCAAGATTACTGTTAATATGCACACCAGTCTTCATCAAGTACTGCAAAGTGATTTACAGAATGAATATAAAATATATAAAACCAAGAATTGTAAAAAAAAAACAAAACACACCATACAGTGAAATGTCATAGCCAGCGGTGCACCTATCAAAAAGAACCTTCCCATGAATAAATAGATAAATATCTTAATTCATAAAATGTACTATTGAGAATAACTTCATGCATTTTGAACATAGAGAGTTCCAAAGTAAGGATGAATACAAATGAAGAAGTTCTTATTCTGATTACCATTGTCCACTGATGACATCATAAATAAAGCCCCGCCTAAGACCTTCTCAGCATCGGAAGAGGCATCATTTACTAAATCCACTACTCACTTCTGCTCTGCATCACAGCAACAGAGCCACAATCCCTTTCCCAATCTCGTCTTCTAGTTGCCCCCAAAAATGAGGCCTCGGATTTGTTGGATCATTCATAAGGCCATTATGGGATTCTCCAAATTGTAATCTGAAAACTTCAGAGCGCATAGGGTGCAGAAAGCTGGAATACTTAGCAGTAAGAGTCCAAATTGTTTATATGTGGCTTTTGTAAAAATGCCACGTATCAGTTAACATTTCCTTGGCCATTAATGCAAATACTATTCCTCAAAAATCATTCTATTGGGCTGGCCTATATTATCTTGTTTACCTGATAGCTGTTAGCAGATAAGAAGTTTGGAAAGTTGAAAAAAGAGGACTCCGGGGTGACGGTCCTCAGGTGTGTCACAGGCACATAGCTTGAGTTTGTACAACTGACAAAGATGGTAGTCACAAGTGAATTTGGTTCCTCACTGTCTGCCAGTCCCACTCTTCTAGGAAGGTCTGTGAACTCGACACCTAAGAGAAGGAACAGCAGGAGAATGTTGGTCCTATGACACCACTAATGGTATCAAGGACCATCTGCTAAGGACTGCTCCCTAATAGCAACTTTGGTCTGGAATCCTCTTCCAGCTGAAATTCACGAAGTACCTATTTCTTCATCCAGCCTTCTGTGTATATAGCATTAATGTTTGATGGAGGTTTTTTGTTTGATTTTGCCCTCAATTGTTTATTTATAAAAATTTTTTTAATAAAAATGAATTTATTTTTAATTTTAAAAAAGAGCAGCTATTTTATCCTATACATTACGTTCACGTTCTTTTTTTGTCTTTCAACTCAAAAAAATCCATATGCAATATTTAAGAACAATAAGATGACTAAGCAGAAACCAATAGAGAGGCTTGCCAAGAACTCTGGTTCAGCCACATCTGGAAATTTCTTCAGTTGTCTTGTTATGAACCTACAATTCATTTCATGGTGTCACTTGCTGAACGCTGCAAAGCATACTCTCTTGTATGTTTTCTGCCACAAACAAGAAACAAAGCAGGAATGTCAATGGGGTATGATTGGGGAAAAAACAAGATGATGGGTGTAAAAATGTGATTGAAGGAATTCATTCATATATATATATATATATATATATATATATATATATA